CTTACTTATTCAATCTGTATGCTGAGCAAATAATCCGAGAAGCTGGACTACATGAAGAAGAACAATGCATCAGGATTGGAGGAAGACTCATTACAACCTTCCATATGCAGATGACACAACCTTGTTTGCTGAAAGTGAAGAGGACTTGAAGCACTTACTGATGAAGATCAAAGACGACAGCCTTCAGTATGGATTACACCTCAACATAAAGAAAACAAAAATCCTCACAACAGGACCAATAAGCAACATCATGATAAACAAAGAAAAGACTGAAGTTGTTAAAGATTTAATTTTACTTGGATCCACCATCAACACCCACGGAAGCAGCGGTCAAGAAATCAAATAATGGGTTGCACTGGGCAAATCTGTTGCTAAAGACCTCTTTTAAAGTGTTAAAAAGCCAAGATATCACTATGGGGACTAAGGTGCGCCTGACCCAAGCCATGGTATTTTCAGTAGCTCAGACGCACGTGAAAGCTGACAATGAGTAAGGAAGCCCGAAGAAGGATTGATGCCTTTGAATTATGGTGTTGGTGAAGAATATCGAATATCCCATGGACTACCAGAAGAACAAACAAATCTGTCTTGGAAGTGTACAGCCAGAATACTCCTTAGAAGTAAGGATGGAGAGACTGAAGTGCTTTGGACATATTATCAAGAGTGACCAGTCCCTGGAGAAGGACATCATGCTTGGTAAGGTAGAGGGTCAGTGAAAAAGATGAAGACCCTGAACGAGAGGGACTGACACAGTAGCTGCAACAACGGGCTCAAGCATAACAATGACTGTGAGGATGGCTCAGGACAGGGCAGTGTTTCGTTCTGTTGTACACAGGGTTGCTATGACACCTAACAATAACAACATATATATTAAAATTTAAACAAATTACAATGAACAGATACAATGGCTCTTTTAGACATTATTGACCATATTTAAGAGCTCAAACACAGAACATGAGGAAATGACTTCCAGGCAGACTCAAAATTAGCATTTTAACTAAAGTTCTTTGAACCGATAGAATATTCATGTAACTGGAACAACTTAATATCCTAAACATGACGTTTCCTCAAAGCATTGCTCTAAAAGAAGGCGCACGCACACACACACATGAACAATTACCATTTCATTACTGGCTGATGTGGGTAACATTTGATGTAAAGATATGATGATCCCTTCAAGAGGAATCTTCTGTATGATTATTATTATAACTCATGAATTCAACTTATGACCCGCATAACCAAGGCTCTCTGCACTTGTCATTTTTTGATGATTTTTGTCCGAGGCAGGATAATTACCATTTGAAGCACAGAAAAACAATTGGTAGACCCAAATAGAAAACTCTGTTTCCCAGCTACTAGCCCAGTGCCCATCACTCTATTATTGCCTACTGTCACCTCTACTGTCACATTGATTGGGACTATATGTAACCAAGAAAAAGTTAGTTATACATCCAGATTCTGAATAAGGGAAATTCCTTAATATTACATTATAAGACATTCCAAACATTCTTCGTTATTGTGGTGGAAGCTCTGATAAATTGCCCAGGCTGCCTTTAAGACTGAAGGACTTATTCCACAGCCACAGGGAGAATGGCCAGTAGAAATTGCTCAGCTGGCAGTACCCTCTGGGGATTTGACTGGGGCTGAAAAGAACTTCTTTGTCCAAGCTCACAGCCCCTTCCCAGGCTGCCTGCATCAATGACTGAACAGTAGGATATGAAGGCCCAGCCCTTGGCCTGACTAGGACAACTCTGAAGATTCATCCCAGCTTCAGAATGCCCTGTAGGTAGCCTGGGGTCTTCACTGAGACCCACTGAATCACAGCTAACTCCTCCCTCTGCCATACTGTACTCCAAAGCTTCCCTTCCACAGGTTTTAAGCCCAAGAACGCTCCTAATAAACCTCCTGTGTGTTAATCTCCAGGCAAGCCAACCTGCAAGTTAGTGATCAAAGGGTTCATTGAACAACTGTCTGGATGGATAGTTGGGAACTGAGGAGATAGGGCTAGAACTCAGGGTTCCTGAACCAGGTTGGGGTACAAGATAGAGAACTGCCCAAAATGACCCTGGAGTCTCACTGCCTGAAGTACGGGCTCTCTGGGATCGTCTTGCCCCCTTCTCCCTGACAGAGGGTTGTACCTAGTAAGGGGTGACTGTAATATCCTAGGGCCCCAAAATCTCCAGGGGTTGAGTAGCAGGGAATCCTAGACAATTCCTGAAAGAGCTTAAACCTCAAATCAGATTACCTAGAATCAAAGTATTCTCCCCAGTGGGGTCACTTTCTCACACCTACCCTACAAAAGATGAGACAGCTGAGAGCACTGGAACCTAGGACCCCCCTCTCCCTCACGTCTCTACCCCCTGTGTCCAGAAGAAGAAGACCTCTTCAGGCCTCTACGAGGGCTGGTTGGAGGAAGAGTTGTGGCTTCTCTTCTCTCACTGAGGCTGACGTTACCTAAGCTATACCTTTCTCCACTAAAGTCTACTCCCTCACCCATCCAGTGCTGCTGTGGAATTTATCTTGTGCCTTTATGCTTGACAAGTGGAGACCCACATAGAACCCTCCTTGAACAACAGTGGTGACCACAAAGGTATGAATTCTTCTCAGTCCCAGTTAAGCTTTTGGGAAATTTTGGAGGAGATAACGGCCACTCTGGGGATGAAGACAATCTCTGGGATGATGAGAGATCACTGGGAGAGCCAGTGGTATGGTGACCATGGCATATCTAAGTGTCCCAAAGCCTCATGAGAGGCTATCCTGGAATGAAAAGCTGTCAGTGGCCAGTCAGAGGTGACTACCTAGTGTGGGGTACGGCAAGAATTATCTACTGTGACATCGATGGCTTCTTCAGTGTTGCCGAGACAACAACAAGCTAAGTGACATGGGATGGGGTGTCCGTATCCTAGATGGGATAGCTGCACCCAGACTCAGCTTGCCCTGGGACCAGTGGTTTCCTCCTCCTGGCAGGAGAGACCGCATCTTTCATAGGACTTCCAGGTCTCCTGGAGCTGGGCAGGCAAAGTTCCCAGAAACAGCTGCACTCTAGCCCAGATAGCCTGACTGCAGAATGGCCTGACCATGTCCCACAGTCCAGGGGTTTATCTTGCCTTACAAAGGAGAGGGTACTAAAGTAGCCCTGCCCGCCTCTCTATGAAATGATGGGAGGATGTACCTTTCCTCCTCTTCTGAGCCTGGCGTCCTGCAGCTCCCTTTCTCCAATACAGCCTATTCCTTAACCCAAGATATAGGACATTGTGGAATTCATCCCAGATCCTGGTACACAACAAGTGAAGGCCCAGATGGGCCACACCTTGGCCCACGAAAGGTCATCTACTAGTTCTCATTACAATAGCTTACACGGATGTTTAGCTTTACCTTTTAAGGCACATTCACATGCCTGAACTCAATGAGACACACATCAGCCTAGCGAAGTTAGCAAAGGACATCTTATGTAATCAACATGTTTTAGAAAGAAAAATTGGAAAACAGAGTCAGTTAAAAGACATTTTTCTTTTCAGACTTGTGAAAACTCCTGCAAAGCCATAGAACTTGAATCACATTTACTTACACGTGTAATGAATTACCTTTTTTTACAGAATAAAATTACATGAAACTTGTGCTATCACAGAAAACCCTGCAAATATGGTCAGCATAATTACAGACATGAAGTAAACCTGGCAACTTAAAAACTCCTTCTGATAAAAACTTTAAGGGGGGAGAAATCAAATGTTCAGAAGCTTGGTGACAAGAGGAGCTTGGAGAAAAGAGTTAGGGCTAAGAGAAAGTGATAGAGAGCAAAGAATGCAGAAGTCTATGATTGGGATTTCAAAGGAAGGTGGGACGTCCCATACAGTCTACAAATGCAAAAGCAACTTTAAACATGTTCCCAAATACACAGTATGATGTAGCCACCCAAGATATTTGCCATTCCTGGAGAAGACTCTATGTTTCTGCTCTACTCCTGAAGTACTGGGTCCACCCCACCTCCCGTGGAAAATGAAAAAACTATTTCAATAAACTAATCTATTCAACAGACACGTGTTCATCAGAGGCCTACCAGGGGCTAGACATTGGCTAGGGGCCAGCTACAAATAAGACACAGGTTAAGAAACAGACCAACTAGTGACTCTACACACACTAGAGTATGATGGACGATGGAAATGGTTTTCCTAGTCTGGCACTTTGCAGACATTAGTAATGGATGCTTAATCTGAGAATCATCCAAAGTCTATATTTTTCTATTTACATAGCCTGCATATAACTGCATCTATGGAAAGGGGATTACCCCACTGAGTCAGTCTTCCTAGGAAAATAAGATTTTTTAAAGGAATTAATTAAAATCTAACAAAAATTAAGATAAATCTTAAAAATAAATACAAATTGCTTTTCATAGAATCACTGACCCTTGAAAGTAGAAGGGAACCCAAAACCGGCTACTCCAAACTTCACACAGCACAGAAACACCTTTCCCAATGTCCTGATAACTGGTCGCACAAACCAGAGATAGAGTTTTGTCTGCTTCCTTTGTCTGCATCAAAGTGATCCACTTCAGTGCAAACATCAAACGCACTGCATTCTGGGAAGTGACCATCCACAAAGTGCATTTCTAGGGCACAAAGATGTTTCTGGAAAAACTGGAAAGCCCCCATGCCACCTTCATCTAGGACTTGCTTACAAAGCAGATGTTTGCTAGTTTTAATTTTAGTGAACTCTCAAATGGATTGGGCTAAATATCTCCAAGCTTTATACATAATTGCTACAGTAGGTAATTTGTGCCTGTGGTAACAGTAATTTCAAGTTATTATTGAAAATGAAGGATAATTAAAAAAAAGAAACAAACATCTAAACTGAGGCTAAGGTAAAAATATGACACTTTCACAAGTGAATTTTATCCAAGTTTTTTTTTTTTTTTTCCATACTAAAAGGCAAATATTACTTTGGTTGCTATCATAAGGAAAACATGTGTCATGCATCGTCTCATAGTGTACATTTTTTGAACGTACCTGTAACCCTTCAATGGCCAGTTTGAGAATGGAAGGTGTCAGTTTGGAGGCTTGTTTGAAGGAAAAATTACTCCAGTCTATGATTAAAATGAAACCATTGATCTGAAGCTCTGCGTCTTCAATAAGGACTTCCAGGGACAGCAGGATGGCCCGCAGGATGTCTGTGAAGGAGTTCCTATGGCCAGAGCAGAAGGGAGAGGCTGTGAATATTTGTAGGTGGTAGCACATTGCACGTGACATCACTAGCCTTCTCACCCCACTGCTCCCTAAGCCCAGCCTGCAGGGTAACACTGGGTATACCCAGAACTAACGAAAATGTATGTACTAAATTGAAATCCTTCAAGACTCACAGGATGGAAGCGTCCCTTTAGACTGACCCCACCATCACCCCAGACTTAATGAGGTGTCCCTCCTCTGTGTTCCCATGGCTGTTTTGCTCTGCAGCACCAGTTTCGTTTTGTAGAAATGTCTTCCTGACTCCTCTCTCTCCCTCCCAGGGCCATGATATCTTTTAGGACAGGGACTGGACTGTGATCATAGTTGTGTCCTCATTACCTGCGTGTTCAGTGAATCACTGAGGGACAAATGAGGAGAGACCTCAATCAGAGGCTATTATTTTAATTAAACCTCTTTTACATGTTTAAAATTTTGCTAAAGCTATAATAATATCCATGTAATAAGTATAACAATATCCATGCAATCGGTGCTATTTTTTAGCTTTAATTCATGGATAGAGAAAAATAAAGCAGGAAGAAGAACTCGCTTTTATTGAAGGTCTACAGAGTGTGATTCTGGAGGGAAATTGCTTGGAGTACATCAGTAACTATGACAACGGGCAGACCTGAATACAAACCACAGCAATAGCTCTCCGGTATTGTTTGTGCTCCTCCATATCATATACTCCCATTCACATGCTGATTTTTGTTCTAAATAATCTGCAGACATGAATAAATAATAGCATATTCACTCTGCATTAAATACTATGCGTGCAGCGAATTATCTGAGCTATAAGTCTAACATCTTAGAAGATCTCTAAATTCAGTGTCTTTCTTTGGTGAGCTGGAAAGTATAAGCTTGGATGGCAAGTGATGGCAAAATTTGCTACTCTCTTGAGGCATCATTGACATCAGAAGCCAAGTCCTCCTGTGAAATCCTTGGGAAATGAGAAGATTCTGAGCATCTCAACCTGGTTCAAATTCTGACCAAGCTTCATGACTCCAGATTAGAAAACAGGAAATCTGTAATCAAACAGTTAACCAGTAAGAGTTACCAAATGTCTGTTACACACTCAGCGTTGTGTTCCATGGTTGCATTTATAAATGAGTATGTCATATTTTTTACTTTCAAAGAGACCTCAACTTAGTTAAGATGGGGTGGGATATTAACCATGTAAATTGAGAAGGACCAATATAATTTGAGCAGTAAGGGAAGAGTTCACAGAGAGATAAGACAAGAATTCACTGGAGATAAGTCTTGCAGGGTGGATAGTATTATTATGGATAAATGGAAGAAGGAAAAGTAGGACATTTCAGGAAAGAGAAGTGGCACAGTGAAAAATAAAGATACACAGCCCATTCTGTTTCTGTTCATTCTCTTCTTACTAATGATTTCTTCTTTACATCAAGCTAAACCTTTGCTCCCCAAATTCCATCCATGGGTGTAGTTCTGCTACAAAAAACAAAAACCCTCAGGTCTTCCCCCACCACACACTTTCAATTATCTAAAGACAGCTGTCATGACCCCCGTATAATCTCTAGACTAAAAACATTACTAGTAACTTTAAGCATTTCTCATAGGAAATGGCTTTTAATCCTCTTTTTATCATTACTGTTTTCTTTCAGACATATTCCCTTTCATTATTAGAGATATTATATTCCTATTAGCATACCGTAAGTTTCCACTAGGGTTTTGTTTTTCATTCACATCAAAATAATTATTTAAAGATCCAAGTGTTTTTCAGAGATAGAGCTTTGTATTGGGAAGAAACGTTGATTAAACAGAGTATGGGACCAAAGAATACGAGCTTGAGCAATTCCAAATTGAAATAAGGAAATGCCCAAATGGCCAACTGGAAATAACCACTAGGGAACCAGGAAATCTGAGCCTGGATAAGCTTTCTGAGGAAGAAGACATGTGGAAAAAATCAGGACTGAAAGGCTGAGCTTTAAGTAAAGCCCGCATAAAGTACTGAGGGAAAGGAAGGAGAATAAAATAAATAATAATAAAAGGTGAGAAGATCAGATGATATTGTGCTAAAATAAAAAAAAAAAAAGAACCAGAAGTGGAGAGTGTTTCAAGAAGATAGGGTATGATAGGTCACACTACTGGGCCAACTCTCCACTTTCTCCTGCATCTACATATTAGCCGTGGCCTCACTGTGGACAAAGTATATTCACTGGCCCTTGACTTTGGCCTTGGCATGTGACTTACTTTGACTGCTGGCACGTAGACAGAGATGACAATGTACCAGTTCCCAGCATTGCTCTTAAGAGATTACAAATGTTAACAATTGTTTTTTTGCCTTCCTGCCATTGCTCTGAGAAAAACATGCCCCAGCTAGCCTGCTGGATACAGGGGAAGCATGAGACACACACAGACCAGTCACCCTCCAGCAAACTAGCAGATCTTCATGAAAAGCAGAGCCAACCAATGGAACTCAGCCTACTTGCCCCACAGATGACATTAACAATAATAAATGATTGCTATTTTAAGCCACTGAGTTTTGAGATGGTAGTGCTCTCATACCAGACGGCAGTCAACAGAATCAAATGCAATAGAAAGGCCAAGAAGACTAAGGAAGGACAAAGGGTCATTGTATTTGTCAACAAAGAAATCTTCGGAGAGCTTTGAGAGAATACTTTCTGTTGAACACTGAAAATTGTCTTATTGTTGCTATCTGCCATCGAGCTGGCCACAACTCATGGCGAACACATGCACAATGGGATTAGACTTTGGCGAGCAGTGTTTTCATTGACTGATTTTCAGAAGTAGATTTCCAGACCTTTCTTTCTAGTCCATCTTAGTCTGGAAGCTCTGCTGAAACCTCTTCAGCATCATAGCAACAAGTAAGCCTCCACTGACAGATGGGTGGTGGCTACACTTGAGGAGCACTGGCCGGGAGTCGAACCTGGGTCTCCTTTATGGAAGGCAAGAACCATCACTGTCCTCTGAACGGTAATGCTAGAAATCCTTAATTCTAACGATCTTTAGCAAATCACCTAATCTCTGGCTCATTTTAGTCTGTATAAATGAGAAATAGCACCTCTTCCCATCACATATCTACTTCCAAGAAAGGACATTAAAGTCTCCCTGGAAACCATTTTATGCATTTCGGAGACCAGAACCTTATTAGAAGATAGGAACTGGCAGTAAATGAAGACGTATGTTCATGGGATAATCCCAGGGGAAAAATAAAAGGATCCTGGACTGTATTATAGTTTCTAAATGATCACACGCTCTCACTTTTCCAGAGGAACTGGCTTTTGGAGGAGGGCAGGAAAAAGCTGAGTGGAATGGAGTCATGAGGTTTTACCCCACTGAGGAACGTGCAGCTATCACCTTAGCTGCAGTCATTATCTTGATCTGTTATATCCTGGCTTCTTCATGTGAATTTCCTCATCTTTTTTTTTTCTCTTTTCTCTTTACAATACTTTGACTTGTAAAATCCCCCCATCTTCTTAAAGTTTAACATACTACACCAAATAATTTATGTAGATACTCCACCCTCATTGAGGTGCAACATACTCTTTTTAAATGTTGATTGGACATAGTAACTTCCTTCCAAAGAGTACAGTATGGAAAGAGAGGCAGGGGAGAATAATTTTACAGAGGCGAAAAGAGACAAACACTACTTGTGCCAGGTGATCAAGGTCAACATCAACAGTGAAAAATCATGTTGACAGTATTTACCTTTGGTATGATGTGAGCAAAACGGCACTTTACCTGTGTGGCCTTCCTCCCCCAAACCCATAACCTCAGTTTTTAAAAAAAACTGTTGCTGTGAAGTTGATTCCAACTCGTAGCGACCCTATAGGACAGAGTATAACTGCCCCATAGGGTTTCCAAGGAGTGGCTAGTGGATTTGAACTGCCAACCTTTTGGTTAGCAGCTGAACTCTTAACTACTACACCACCAGGGCTCCAACCTCAGATTAATTATGAGAAAATCATCAAACAAATTCCATTCTTCAAAATACCAGACCAGTACTCCTCAAAACTTTCAAGGTCATCAAAAAACAAGAAAAGATCTAGAAACTGTCACAGCCAGAGGAGTCTAAGGAGACATGACAATCAAATGCAATGTGGTATCCTGGATGGGATGGGTCATGGAACAGAAAAAAATGATATTAAGCAAAAACTAAAAAAAAAAAAAAAAACAAATCTGAATATAGTATGTACTTTAGTTAACATTTTTTTTTGTTTTTTAGTTTATAATAATATATCAATATTGGTTCATTAATTGTAACAAATTCACCATACTAATGTAATATGTTAATAATATAGGAAGCCTGGTGCAGGGTGTATAGGAATTCTCTGTACTATTTTTGAAATAATTCTGCAAATCCAAAATGGTTCTAAACACAAAGTTTCCTTTTTTTTTTTTTCAAAGTACCTACTGGAGTTTGTAATCTGCCATGATCAGTTTCCAAAAATCTTCTAACAAGTTTTCTAAGCAAACAAAATGATCATAAACAATTCAGCTACCTCATACAAATTGTGGAAATGAGAACAGAAGACATTTCCAGGATTTCCTCATTCTACCAGCTCATCTAGACTTATACACTGTTTAGTTCTGATAGCCCAGAGAAAATAATTTTTATTTTCTTTATTGCCTACAATCCCAATTCTATGAGTATTTTAGCACTTGTTTCAAAATGAACTACCAGATCACAAATGGATATTTACCTTTCTTCAATTTTTGTCTATAATTTGCATAGTGTTTATATAGTTGGTTCTGAAGTCTATCAGTTCTAGATTGATAATTATAGGTTCAAATGTGATAATGTATGTGAGAAGATGTTGTGAACTACAAATTGTCAATGAAATGTGAAGAACTACATTATTAGAAGGCAGACAACTTAAAATACACCCCCCCCAAAAGATAACTTTAGATTAATCAGGATTTAGCAAAGGTTTATGTAAATAAGCTTCATTGTTACACTGTGAACAGTTAGAG